CAGCAGGAGCAAGCTGGCCCTATAGGTCATAGAATTGCTAGCAAATGCTTCTGTCCCATTTCACTTCCTGCTAGGAAGGACCAGATTGGAATAGATCATTTAGGCTAAAGTTATTAAACCTGGATGCCTCAAGTTAGCCACTCAAACCCATAACAGGCCATTTCTAAAAGATTTTGCAACCTGAATAGGAGTGCTAAGAACCACCAAGCACAAATGAACAGCAACAGCACCTATAGACACTCAGCATCTATGAAAAGATCAGAATTCATATTTATAGATTTAGGAGCCTAACTTTAGACAGTCAGGTTTGGGGGATATTTTCCAAGACAGATGGTATAAAAAAAATAAAAAAACAAAACAACCCCCACCCCCCCAAAAAAAAACAAAAACAAAACACTTAACTGCTACGGCTGCTGATGGGAATTAGCTTTCTACCTGCCAGTTGTACTTTTGAAAAATCCCTTCTGAGTTGTGCACTTAAAATTTGGCTGGTTGATTTTGTATTGCCACTATTTTTCTAGTTTGCCATTTGAGCAGGAATTTTATGATCAACCTCTGAAAATAATTGGAATTCCATTGCACTGTGAGAGATGCTACTGTGCTATAAGTATTTAGTACTTGTATTAGCAAGTACTAAATAAAGTGTGCAGTAACTGGAGTTACTACACAGTAGTGCCAGCAAACATTTTTTAGGTGATGCTACTGCACAGTAGCCTAATAATACTGCGCAGTAGTGTATTAGTACTGTCTGTGCTGTGACACGCTACTGTGCGGTCAACATCTCATTTAGACATGCCCTTTGTGTAGGGCATTTTATTATTTCCTTAGTTAATGTATTAATTCCTTCAGGAATGATTGATAAGTGACAGCAAATTATTCCTTCCCCAGGCCTTCTGAGATTACAATAACAAAACTGGGTACATAGGCAGAAGAGTGTCTGTGTGTGTGTGGGGAGGGGCAGGAAGAGGGAAGAACCCCACATACAATATACATCCCAACACCAACCCACCCCCCCAACCAAAACAACTATTAAAAAAAAAAAAAAAAAAAAAAAAGACCAAAAAAATCCACAAACAAACCAAAAAAAACAAAAACAAAACAAAAAAACCCACCAACACACACACCAACCCCTCACCCAGCTCAAGTGATATCTAGTGATTTGTTGGTGTTACACTACCCTAAACTTCCTATTTGGCCTTTTTCTAACAGGTCTGTATCCCTTAGGAAATACCTGTTCCTTATTAGTTGTTTACATTTGTAAACTTAGCGGGTGCTGAACAAATCCAATACAATCTGCCTCAGCATTACCCCCTGGCTTTTCCAACAAAAGTGTTAGGATCTAGGAGGCATTTCTCAATACCAAAGCAAGTAGTGTTGATTTAAACTGGAGCCAGGAACAAAAACAGGATCCTGTGTGACAAGGAGTTGAACTTTCCTTCCAGACTTATTGTGCATTTCCTGTGTGCACACTAAACCTATAAGCTAGTGTACTCAGCTATTCTACATCTGTTGCTGGAACTCCATGGCTTTATCTGTGACCAGATAATGCCTACGGATTATCATCTTATGCCCACTTGCTGTTGTGAGGCACTCTCCTAATTTTGTCTGTCCTAGGACCTCCTGAGAGAAAATGCTTGTTTGCAGCACTGCTCCTGTGCATCCAGTTATTACACCTCTTTCCTAATCTCATTTTTAATGGTGCTGAGCATTTTCAGCTCCCATTCATCACACATTTGATCTTAGCACCTCAGAAAATCTAGACCATGTTATTAATTCCTTATGCATTAGGAATATAAGACTCTGTTTGTCCTGGTGTTTACCAGAAAGCTTTCACCACAGATAGTCTATCCATACCTTGAGCACCCTTCATAGGCTGCAACTGTATCTAGAATATTCTTTCACCCTTTAAGATTTAGCTCTTAAGAATAAATATGACCCCTCACTCTGACTCAGTGGCCACTGAGGATGAGTTTTAGGGAACTGTGTACTTACCTCCGTGGCTATGACGCACTCATTCCGCTCCTCTGTTATCACAAAAACAGACTGGTACATTGAATCCCTTGGAGAGCATATTGCTGATATCCTACATTCCGGCTTTTCACTAAGAGAAGCAGAGAGAGGGGGGGAAAAAAACAATGTAAGGGTGCTGAGGAAGATACGAGCTCAAGTGTGAGCCTATCATCAAGATCTTCTGCAAATAACCTTGGGTGAAACAAGAGTAGGCTCAAAATGAATGAGGACAGATGAGTGGCAATACCCTGAATTAAGTGACAACTGTTTCAAGTATTCTGTATAGTGGATGTTAGGTTACATTTGAAAAGTGAAAGTGCTGTCCAGCTCCACTTCCCCTATGCCCAGTCTAATAGTTTACAATTCATTTCCATTTCCTGACATGTCACTGTTGTAATGCAGTATTTAAAATCTCCATGTGGTTTATTATGTGTAATGCAAGAGATTCAAAGGCCAGTAGAAAGTCATCCTCTTTCTTTCAACTTGAATCTTGTTATTTTTCCTTAATCCCCCAACCTCTCCAAATAAGTCAACCTTGGGAAGATGTTTGCGTGTTTCCCTTGTAAAATCTGAAATATACATTTAAAATCAGTTCTGGCCTCTCCATGTTTAGTTACCAGTTACTTTCATAACTAATCTACCTGCCAATGTCCCCTCTTATTCTTTTTTGTTTTGGTCCAGGATGCTGCCAGAAAGAGAAACACAAGAGTCTGCTCTCTAGGCAGAGTTAGGGGTGGCACATCCTAAATGGTGAAATTCATGCTCCAGTTTGGAGATTTCCCCACCTACTCTGATTTGTTTCTTACTTTAGCTCCTTGAAGGAAGAGCTATCTTTCTACAGTCCTCCTTGGATGCCTGTGAAGACCAGAGAGCATAAAGAAGGCTGCAGGGGAAACTGCATTCTTACCTGTGTAATCGAAGGGGAGATTTCTCTCCTAAACACTTTTCACTTTTATAATATTTATCCTCCTGTGTCGCTCTGCTTGTCAGATCCTTTACCAAGTTATATTCCAGTGTATGATTCTTAGGTTTGTAGTTTGATTTCTCCAGCCCACAGTCCACCTCCAGGTCTTTATTTTTATTGGTGTTTTTGAGTTGGGAAGCTGGAATAAGATTGTCCTTCTGAAAGTCAGACAGGTTGTTCATAGTCTCTCGATCCTGCTCTGGGTGCCTCCGCATCTGTCTGATGACCATAGCTATCATGCAGAACAGTACAAGCAAAGCCACTAGCCCTACGCCCATGGAGATAGCAATCCAAGGAACTGGTCTGGGAGGAACTGGAACAGGTAATGTATAAACTGGGAATTCACAACGGCTGCCCATGAAGCCAGGAGGACAGTTACAGATAAAGTTGGCACTATAAAGTCCACCATAGCATGTGGCTCCATTCTGGCACGGCCCAGACGCACATTCATCTGTGGTTTTGATGTCACAGTTCCTGCCAGTGTAGCCTGGCAAGCAGGTGCAAGTGTAATCATTGATCAGGTCATGACAAGTGCCCCCACTGGAACATGGGCTCCGGGCACACTCATTGATGTTTATCTCACACTTCTGACCAGAAAAACCAGCACGGCATCGGCATACACGGATTTGACCCAAGTCATAGCATTGACCACCTGGGGGGGGGGGGGGTCAGGGGGGGGGCGCGCGGGGGGGTGGGTGTCAGAGGGGTGGGGGGGAAAAAGTCAGTGCAGTTCATTCTGGACACTAAAAATCTCTTTCTTGGTAAGCTTTTACTATCACAATGGAAAGGACATACTTGCACATTAAATATGACAAGAGCCATGACTAAAAAGATTCTGATACTACTGAAATGATACCACTGTGGTCCACATGAGTGAGTCTTTAAAGTGTATATAGCTACAGTCAAATTTATTATTTTATATATTTCTCCCTTTTCTACCTCTATTGATAAGCCCTCTGGAATTCTGATGCACTGGTCACTTGCATACAATACAAGAGTGCTTCTGACACCATACTTTAGTATGGTAAGGTAAAGAATATAATGGAAAAAGGAAGACTGGTAGATCAGAGAAAAGGCTAAAAATTGGATTAAGGCCTGTCATTTTTGTAGTGAAGAGCATGAAGGAGCCAGAGAGAGATGTGGGCACTTCTAGGGAGAAGACTTACCATTTGCACATGGGTTACTTGTGCACCTGTCCACTTTCTTTTCACAATTAGATCCTGTAAAGCCCAGGGGGCAGAGGCAAGTGTAACTGGCTCCTTGTTCCTTTTCCAAGCATGTGCCCCCATTAAAACATGGAGAATCAATACAAGTCAAAGCACTGTGCTCACAGTGAGTTCCATAGTATCCAGGTGGGCACATGCAATGGTAACCATTCTCCATATCCTGCAAAAATTAAAGACATAGCATCAGACCCCACAGTTTAATTCCATTGTCTAGCAATTACTTTCAAGTGTTATTCCACCCCTGCTCCTCCACCAAGGTCAATTTATGATTCTCAGTGGCAAGTGGAATATTGGGAGGGGAAAATATGCAGATAGGACTCAGAGGGATTAAGCAGCCACATTTATATATTGGGGGAACTGCATAGCTACTCAAGCAGAACAGGTCTGATTTTGGAGACCCAGTAGGAAAAACTAAATGGACACTACTACTACCACCACCACATACACTTGTTGCCTAATAGGAGCTCCAAAGCCCTCTTAGCCCTGAGCTGTAGGTTTCTGATAAGACAGTTTTAAGCATGGTAGCCAGTTTGATGAGGACAGATTTTGCTATGCTTTGAAAGGACCCACTTGGTAGACCACAACTAAATCCTTTGCACTTTCCAAATATAGTTTTTGCAGGTCCTTGGAAGTAAGCAGACAGGTCTTGTGCCACTATCTGACCAAAAACTGCAACAGAGTTAGGGGTGACCATATGGGAAAAAGTCAGGACACAGCCCCCTGCCACCTCTCTCAAGTCAGCAGCGCTGCTGCAGGCAGAGGCAGAGCAGCATGGTACACCAAGCAGATGGGTAGCAGTGGTGCCTGCCCTCCCAACTTCCTGGCACACTGCACTGCTAGTCTTCCCTGCTGGAATCACAAGGGCATGGAGTGCAGTCCGGGACGCTCATTATAAGCTTCCAGCCAGCTGGGACTGGCCTACAAAATCCAGGACTGTCCTGGGCAAACTGGGATGTATGGTCCCCCTAAACAGAGTACATTTGATATGCTTGATCTGCTGATCCTTATCAAGAGGTAGAATTAACCACTGAATGGTTCTGCAAATGTACTGAAACACTAGACTGTAGAATGTTGGAAAATGCATAAACTTGTTCCATCAAAGAGGTTTTTCACAGATCAACTTTTTTTGTATGATATTTGTAATCCTGTAATGGAACACAAGCTCACACCTTTCACTATTATGAAAGTTGTAGTACATGCATGTGTCCAATTTGGTTTGGAGAAGCTTATCTGTTCCCTTAAGAATTTTCAGTCTCAAAGGCTCTCATAAAGAGCCTTTGCAGCAACATAAACTTAGTCGAGTAGTTCTGATCCAGGCAGTATATTTCTGCCTGTAACAAACACCCTCCTCTGACACCTTCAGGTAAGAATCTGTACAATATCTGTGAGCTTTTGAAATGAACCTATGCACTTATTCCCCAATATGTTGGTTAAGCTATTTTAAAGGTATACTTGGGGATTGTCTTACAGACTGGCTTCCCATTTAAAAATTAATCCTTACCGTGCAACTACCGCCGTTCCGACAGGGGTTGCTATCACACTCGCTGATTTCATGTTCACAGTCAACACCAGTGAAACCAGGTTTGCATGAACATGTGTAACTGCCCTGGCCAGTGTTCATGCAGGTGGCTCCGTTTTTGCATGGTTTGTGGTGAGTGCAGTAGTTCAGATCTGCAAAAATACCCAAGACGGCAGACAAGAGTTACTTTGACAGCTGGCAAAAGGCATTCATTTCTCAAAGTATGACTGCAGATAGCAAAAAAACCCAAAAAACAAAAAAAACCACAATAAAAAAGTTTCAACTAAAAGGTTTTTCCATTTTGCTGTCAATAGGAACAGTGCGGATTATTTGACTTTTCACATCATTGTACCAGTCTGTTGTCTCTCCTTTTTGCAATACTTTTTAAGCCCTGGACTGTGGGAGACCTTATAAAACCTCAACTGTCTTAGTGCTGTAGTGTATTCTCCACTTTGTGTATGCATAAACCCTTTAGCCTTAATGGGATTTAGATGTGCACTTATCAAGTTGAGAAATATACCCTTAAGTCTGTCCAGTATGCGTCTCAAGAAAGGCCCCAGGCAGCCTGGTAGATGTACAGAGTGTATTTGTCACACCTGGGCCTTATCTTTTAAAGGTGTGTTCTGAGACATGTGCTGGATGGGATAAAAAGAGAGTCATCTTTAAAAGCTCAAAGTCCCAGAACATATCTTAAAAATGTTTGTTTATGGTCTTCTATTATGTGTGACAATGGGGTAAGTTGCCTAAAATCTATTAAGCAGGTTCTGGGGTGTCCCCCACAAGCAAAATAAATCACAAGTAGGAAGCCTTTATAGATCAGCATAAATTCCATGAAGTAATTAAGATTTGCTGGCTAGTCAATAACTGTATGGGGGGAGGAAAGGAACTGAATCTTTGTTTTTTCCTGTCTATTCAGATTTACCTGGCCTACCATAATCATCTCCACAGTCATTTATTCCATTTCAAAATAAGACTTTGTTATCTCAGTTTCAGCAGTATATATATGGCCTTGAGGACACTTGTTCAGTTGGCTACAGTTCAGAGATTCAATGGGTTGAATAGCTGGAAGGGGTCTGATGTCCCTTAAAGTGGAACCTGTACATTTCATTCTTGCCATTTGATTTCTCTCACGCTTAAGCTTCATCACATGAGTTTACTTCCTTGTGTAGAAATAAGGAAGCCCCAAATGCTGGTGTTTAGTAAACAGTTTTTCCAACAGCAGTAAACTGTTTGGTTTCTACTATTAGCAGGCTGAATTTAGTTTGCTTATGCAAACAAACAAAAAGACTGCAACTTCAGCACTTCATCCAGTTTTTTGGTTTGTTTGTTTTTTTTAAAGAAAAAAAAAAGTCTGCACCTACCAAACAAGAAAGTGCATCTATGTTTTCAGTTAAGTGTTAAATACAGTATAACTGTATTTAGAAGATGCTTTGAACAACCTGTTGACTTTCAACACTTCACTGGAAGAGAGATGCTGTATACCTTATGGCAGCAGTTTTCAACCTTTTTAGACTCAAGGAACCACTTCTTAAAACTCAAGGCACCCATCAGAAAATGCCAGCTCTTTTTTTTTTTTTTTTTTAAACAAACTAATACAGAAAAATAAAGCAATTCTTTGGTTGTAAAGAACTCAAAGCACGGCAGGTAGGTCAGAATGTTTCAATGCTATAACTTTCTATTTGAAATCTCTGGGGGTATCCTGTGAATTGTGTTTGTCCATTTAACAGTGCTAACATTGCACGGCACCCTTGAAAGGTTCTCAAGGCATCCTGCTTGAAAACCACTACTTTGCAGGTCAGATTTCTTAGTTTATTATGTGCTACTCTGCTACTTCAAATCTTTAAGCATGGCCATCAGCACTAACCTTGATCACAGAAAAGGCCACCCCAGCCTTCGTCACATATGCACTGCCACTGTGTTTTGCAAGTCCCATGGCGACAGCCTACATGTGGAATGCACTCATCACAATAACGGCCTTGCCAACCTGGGCGACATCTGAGGAAAGCAAACGAAAAAGGTGATGAATGTAGCCGGTAATGATCAGAACTAGTTAAGTTACTGTTGTTACAAGGAGGGGATTGCTAAAGCTCTGAATGAGAATTTCTACTCACATGCACTCTCCTGGCTTGTTGCAGTACCCGTTTTGTTCAGTGCACCCAGACAGACAGATGGCTGTAAAGTGAAAAAACCCAGAAAAGTTGAGACAAAACCATACTGCCAGGTGTACTAATACATACCAAAGTCCCACGGCTGCCTACTGTATGCTGCATAATGTTGTTTTACAAATGCACATCACAGAGACTCTAGTCACAGGAAGGGAAATTGGAGTGTGACATCTGACAGGGACAAGGATGTTCTTTACTTTGCCTCTCGTCCCAACAGATGCCAGCTCAGAGGCTGCAGCCGTAATACTAAAGCTTGCCCGCCCTCTATCCACCTCCACTGCTGGCCCATGTGCTGGGATGGTAGCAGAGGGGAGCATGAGCCACTGCTATTTGGGGGTGCAGGCTTCATGTCACTGTGGCAATGGGGGAGGAAGTTGCAGGGCTCGATCCCTCCTGCCTTCTGTTCCCTGCAGGCTCAAGGTGGTCAAGCCTGACACCACTCTGCCGTGCCGCCAGCACCCCCAGGGGAGCATTCCAAAGCATGGAGGAGTCACCCTGGATTCCACCCACCCGGTCGGGGTAGTGCCACCCCCCACCCTGTGACAGTGGTAGGGCCCCAGCAGTGTCCGCGCACTCACGCTCTGTGCAGTACTCGCCAGCCCAGCCAGGCAGGCAAGCCAGGCTGCCATCGGACTCGCACACATAGTGGCCAAAGCGGTCGTCGCGGCGCTTGCAGAGGCGTGAACAGCTGTCGCCATAGTAGTTGTCGCTACAGATGACGCGGTAGGAGTAGCGCAGCTGGGTCTGTGGCCCACTCTGCACATCCTGTGACCACTCTTCGCCTACGGCTAGCAGGTGCTGGATTGCCATCTGGCTAATCAGCCCATCCTCAGGCAGTGGTTGGGAGCCTGCAGCAGGGGTACCCACACTCAGCACAGGCCAGGTGACTGGGGGCAGGGTCAACCCCCTTTCCTACATTACAACCTCTCCCCACACTCCCTGATGGGATGCGTGCACCTCCCAGCCTGCTCCGCTGCACAGTGCACCCAGCCTGTGCTACTGTTGGCAGCAAGCAGCTGGGCCTTGCCAAGCCATGGCAGCAGGAGCAACCCCCACCATATATCATTGCATCTAAACACCCAAGACTGTCTGCGAGTATAAAATTAGGAGGAAATCATAAGAAGGCTGTGCTGTTTGTGTGCATGCTATGGGATGGAAAGTGGGAGCTCAATGCAGCCCAGCCCTGCCTCTCTTGTCCCCACTAGCAATGATTATTAAACCCCAGGCTCAAGAGGTTTTGCAGGAAGCTTTTTCCAAGGGAGATGGGCCTGAGAGAGAGTCTCTTCCTCTCTGGCAGGGAAAAATCCCTCCTCCCCCGCCCCAAACGCCCCCAGGCCATTCTTCCTTTTCCAGAAGGGCGGCATTTGTTACAAGGTGTAAACTACAGGAAGAGGTGGTCAGGCCCTCTTTTGTTTTTTTGGCAGCCTCGTCGCTTTCTCACCAAACAGCGCCGCGCTTTCCCACGCCAAAAATAAAACGGGAGGAAACGCAATTGTGTTGGGAGATTAGGTAGGGGACAGACACATGCATGGACACACACACACTATAAAAGTTGCAGCCAGGGGAAGTTGAGGTTAGATACTAGGAAGAACTTTGTCACTAGGAGGGCAGTGAAGCACTGGGGCAGGCTGCCCAGAGAGGTGGAGGCATCTCCATCCTTGGGAGGTGTTGAAGCCCTGGGTAGACAAAGCCCTGGCTGGGATATTCTAGTGGGGGCTGGTCCTGTTCCGAGCCGGGTTGGACTGGACTCCCTTCCCACCTGCATTTTCTGCGCTATGAAAGCAGGACCTGTGCAGGGCTGGACTGGCTGCTGCGGGCAGCGCGAGTCCATTATTTCCTTTAACTAAAAAAGGCACCCCCCCTCCCCTCCAAAGGAGAAAACAAAACAAAAACCACAACCCCCCAAACAAACCAAAAGCGTTGGCGCCCGCCCTCAGTGCTCACCTTGCGGGAGGTAGTTGGCCGGCGCGTGCCAGGCTTCGATGATGAGCGAGAAGGTGCCCTGCGGGGAGAGAGCAGCGGCGTGAGGCGGGAGCCCGGGGTCGGGGCAGGCTGCGGGCCCCCCCGCCCCGGGCTCCAGCCAGCGCGTGGAAGCCGCCAGGCTCTGCGGCCGGTTTAATTAAACTAATTGCCGATAGC